AGTGGTAAGAAGGGTAACAGTTTCACCAGAGGTTGGAAATTCTTACTTATAAATCTCTGATTCTTACTTTTGAATTTATGATTCACTCTAGTTTGTTCATTTTAGTTGTAAATATTTGATTTGAACTCTCAAATGAGTGATTTGAGTTCGTAAATTTTTCAGTTTACTTGATGTTTTTGCAAAGCTGTAACTTATAAATTTGTTTTATCACTTTTTCTTCTGAGTTGACTCATTTTATTCACATTAATTCACTTACATCTCATTCAGACAGCTACATGTGTTTATTTTTGGTAGTTATCCCATAGTTTGGCTATTTTTAAAATGACTTACTGCTGTCTGAGACTTGTTTAGACCTGGCTATGCTGGTTTTGATTTAAAAAAAAAGCTTGTTGCTTTTTCTGTTTTTCTTTATTTATTTTTCTTGTAGAACCGTATTTCTGTTCTGTTCATTAGAGCCTAATACGTTTTCATTTTCATTTCTGATGCATAGGATTTTATTTAGGGGCGTCATAGTAAAGCAAACTTCCTGCTCTTCTCATCGATCGGTCATTTCTCCATTAAATCAAATGCTAGTAAAATACGAGGCGGTTTGTGGTTTAGTCGAGGCTGCTGCATGTTTTCTCAGCTTTTTTTCGGAGACTGAAGCCTTTTCTTCTGGTTTCAGCTCTGCAGAGACGAAGCAGCTCATCCTGTCGAAGCTGGAGGAGCAGGTGGAAGTCAACCTGGGCTCTGCCATGATGTATACGCTGTTTGAGTGGGCAAAGGAGAACCAGGAGGCCCTCATGGAGAACCACAGGCCCGTGGTGACAGCTGTGGTCAGTGGAGATCTATAGTAGATTCTCTTCCTATAGATCAGTTTAGTTATCTGAGAAGATTTATTATCAGTTACATTATCGAAGGAAGCTTTGAAAGCAGAATATGTGCTGTGGATTTTTTTTCTGTTATTGCTGCAAGCAAAGAACACGCTTTAAAACTTAAAGTAGAAATATTTGCTATTTGCTTTTTTAACAGATCTTTTATTTTCAGATTCACTTACTTTTTAACTCTTGTTTTTAAAAGGAAATTATTTTTATTTTAAGCCCAATACTACGGAAGTATATTTTATTCGCCAAAGAAAAAAAATCTGACAGCTTTTTTCATAATTAGGAGATCAGTATCTCCTAATTATGAGAAAAAATCTCATTATTACGAGATAGATTGTTGCTTTCGTCTCACAGACCAATAGAAATGCTCCCTCCAGAGGAAAGCCCGCCTCCTGAAGTAAAGAGAAAATGTTCTTCAAAAAGAATCAGAAAAATCTAAATTCCCAAAATTTAAATTATAAAAAAAGAACATAAAAAAGCAACAAAAAATTGAGAAAACAAAGTGAAAATCAAGAAGTTTTAGTTTTAGGATTGCATTGTTTTTTCTTTTTTTTCCATTTATCAAACATGTTCTTTGTTTGATACAATAATGGATCAAAATTGACTCCATTTAACTGTAGGTTGACTTTTGTCTGTGGCAGACGCTGACGTCAAACACTGAGGCGACGGCGCCCTCTGCTGCAAAGAAGAGGGAGAAGAAGGAGCAACTGACCAAAGCTCAGAAAAGAAGGATGATTAACAGAACAGGTGATGAATTCATTGCTTTTATGAGACCGGAAAATAAAAATGTTAATTTCGTTTCAGTTTATTTCTATAGCTCCAATTCACATCATGTCATCTCAGGTCACTTTATAGAGACAATTCATCCAGATCATCCAGTCAGATTGATTCAAAGTTTTCTATCTAATGAAAACCAGTTGTTTGCATCAATTCAAAGGCAATCTCTCACACTAAGCATG